ACACCAAAACCGTGAAAATGCCAACAAATGACGAATTACATCCTTAGAAATACTCGGCAAAGTTTCAAAGGTTCACAACTATCACTATTTTTTCTTCGAAGTTGTTGTTGATGCAAGATGGAGTGCTTCGAAGCTTACAAAATTATGACAAAAAGGCTTTCGAAGCAACTTTTGGCCAACATTGTGGTTATTCAAATTTTGTATGTTTTGGTTCACACATAATTAATAAAAATATTAATTTTATGCTTTAAACCAATTATTAATTCTCCGAAGACACCAAAACCGTTGTTCTTCGAACCAACTTTTATAGAATACTAGTTATATTTTCATGTAACAAATGGCTATAAAAATGGTTATCAGTAAAGCCACTAATTATCATGCCAAAAATAGACATTATTCGATAATTAATTAATTATCATTTTACATATATTTGAAGGGAGGTACACATTTCGAAAGTTTTCTCGTCCCATGTTACATTTTGAAGGTGTTTATTGATGACAAAACCACCCTTCGAAAGTCACATATATTACTAAAGGATTAAAGTCATCCTTTGAAAGTGCTCACGACATCTCTTCGAACTAAATCCAAAGAGTTGGATTATTATGAAATTAATTTGGCATTTTAACTAGCCATTAATGGCTATAAAATGATATTTCAATAAATAATCTACTTCGAAGTGTCTTGAGACATGCTTCGAAGGTAACCACAAAACCAAATGGTGATGGTTTTATGGATCAACTAATAATACAATTTTGGCTTAATATATTGCAATAACGAAATATTACTTGTTAGTCATTCCATCAAAGTCAACGTTTGATGTGATCCACAAATCCAAAATGGATTTCGAACAACAAAAGTCATGGTATAGTGTGACCATGAAAATTCATACTTTTTGACATTTTGAAAAATGTCAAAAAATTTGAATTCATGAACAGTGGCTTGTTCATTATTTTCGACCATGTTTGTTTTAAAAACATGACTTTTGCCGAATAGATTTTCATAATTATTTGACAAAGTGGGTTGTTTTTCCATGTTAGCCATTAATGGCTTATGAAAATCACTCATAGATATGTTATTTTCATGACTTGACTCTCTAAAAATTGGTTTTGAGACCCCCTAAGCCATGCATGGAACATCATTCTTAGCCAAATTTGGCTCAAGAACATGCTCTTTCGTTATGTTAATTTTATAATTTGGCTCTTTAAAAACGGACTCTTAAACCCCCCGAGCCATTGATGAAATCAACTATTTGCTTTTGTTATTTTTAATCATGAAAAAAATATGAAAAAATTCACCAATTTTGGCCATTAAGGCCTCAATTAAAGACTTAGTAGTGAGAGTTGATAACTCATCATTCCATTGGTAAATTTCCATATCAAATTGATGAATTTCTCTAATTAAATGGTGTCTTTTTTCTTCCACCAAATAATATTGTAAGAGATGAAAATTTATTTCATCAAGAAAATAGATCTCTTCTTGATGATCCAAAATTTCTTGTTTACGCCAATAAATGTCATCTAGGCTATTTGAAATGAACAAATCCAATTCATTTTTCATTTATCACACTTAACGTCCCACTGGTTGTGCCAAAAATTGTTGGCTTATTTTTTCTACGAAGGAAAATATTATAAATGCAAGCGTGCCAGTAAGGATTGAAAAATTCTTACAGATTAAATTCAAGCCAGTTATCAAGCGATTGCGTTGACAGTTCTTTTGCCTCAATAAAGAGGATTTCAAAATTGTCAAGTGTAGAGAAAAGAAAAATTAAAAGAACAAAGAAGGAGACAAAGAAAGATGATTGAGTGAACAATCAATAGTAAAAATTACTTACCTCTACTGCTATGCTTCGAAAGGATGTGCATAAAATGCTTTAAAAATGAAATGCTGAAACTAAATGCTTCGAAATATAAATATACGTTAAACTACTCCTAAGATAAGGAAAATGGCAAGAAATATTGAAATCAATTGTCTTTGATTTGAATTGTGGCCTTTTACAATGTAGCCATGAATGACTATTTATAGACAAATATTTGTAAGAAAAAACTTCTAGCAATAACTATCCAATAACCACCTAAAACTACCCACTCTTTCATCTTCATTCTCATAATGTCACATAACCGTCCATGTCTTCGTAACTTCTCATAACCTCCAAATGAGTAGGAGAATGCCACATGTCCTGCAATTATATAAATAATAAATAATAATAAAAATTGCAGATTTATGGTGCTAACAGGTATGATCCAAACTTACAAGTTTTGGATCGATGGTTGGAAAAAAAAATTAAAAACATTATGTTGATTGTTAAAGTAATTAAACTTTTCTTAAAAAAATAAAATAAAAATAATTCTAGCACAGGCGGCTAGGAGCTTTCAAGCATGAATGTTGAAGCAATGATCTAATTTTTATTTTTATTTTTATTTTTTCACATGTGCAAATTTTTTATTTTTATTTTATTTTTATTTTTTAACTTTGTGTTAAATTCAATGACATATTGAAGTGATAATAACTGAGCTTTGAAATGCAAATATTGACTCTTTTGACTCCATCAGAGTAATCAATATGGCAAGTCTTATCCTGGAATAGAAATGTTCAAAATTTTAAATATATAAATAAATAAAAAATCAATTTTGAAGAGTAAAATTTTAAGTTGCCGATGTTTTATATGTTCAAATTCATGTTGTTTTCTTTTTTTATGTGATTAATTTCAATAAGTTAATATTTTTTCGACGCTTGGTATTGATTAAAAAGAGTAAAGCACTAATAAATTTTAAATAATAACAATGTTAGAGGGTCATAATTTTTGTAGTCACAATAGCTTAAAACTGCCAAAACGACGTCATTTTGGGTGCAAAACATGCCAAAACGACGTCGTTTTGACAGTTTTGAAATAATAATCTTATAAATTATTTGATTTTTTACTTTTTTTTATTTTAGTGTGAATTACATAAAGGGTCAAATATAAATACACGTGTGTTACGTGTTGAGGGACAAATATGAATTTTCTCACAATGCTGAAATTATTAAATGTAACACTTCAAAAAAAAAAATTTAAGTCTACTTTTTTCAAATGTAACAACGTAACATTCTAAAAAAAAATTTAGTGTATTTTTCTCAAACATAATAACGTAACATTCCGAAAAAAAATTTTAGTATACTTTTTTCAAACGTAATATACCAATGTAACACACTAAAAAACTCCTTAGTACATTTTTCTCAAATGTAACAACGTAACATTCTAAAAAAAAAAATTTAATAAATTTTTTCCAAATGTAATACTCCAAACAATATAACACAAAAACTCCTTAGAATTTTTTTTTTTCAAGCACTCTAATGTAATATCTGAAAACTATACTAACAGAAGTGTAGATTTTAACGCTTGACAACAAACACTTCAGCCACTAATCCCCCCAAAAAGAATCTTCCACACCTTACATTTTTATTCCTATCCCAAAAACAAATCAAAATATTGTAAAAATGAATCACGAAAGAGCATTCACTTAAATTTAAATGGTACCAAATCTAATAAATATAACTTTTCAAAATTGAAAAGACTTATTGGTTCATAAGAAAACTTTTAAGATTAAATGGATTAACATTCTCCACATGGTAATAAAATTCAATGAAATTTCAAGAGAAAAAAAAAAACTTTATTAAAAAAAAAAAACTTAATGAAAATTTTAAAAAAATCTCAGAGTTTGACTATTGTAATAAAATAAATATGAATTTTTAATGATTAAAATATCTAAAATATTCTTTTTCGTTGAGTTTAATTATTAAAATACTTTCTTTTCCGTCAATTTTACTTAATGAAAATAAGAAAATAATTTAAACTGAAAATAAAATAAATTAGAGTTTAAGTTGACAAAATTAAAAATTCAATCCTGATTTTTTATTTATTTATTTATTTCCCCCAAACCTTTTCTTAAAAATCAACAAAAGCCTATTTTATGGGCCAACTTGTGATCCCGAGCGATATAACTGATGGGCTTAGCGAGCCCATTAATAGTCTGTTTCGCAAGTTAGTTCTTGGGCTTTTTTGGCTATTTTAACCACAAAAGATAAAATAGGCTATTTTAACTAGGGGTGGGCGCGGGTCGGTTGCGGCCACGAAACCTCCAATCCGCCATCCGTCCGCCAGATTGGCGGATTGGAGAAAATCAATCCACGTCCGTCCGCCAATCCGGCGGATGTGGATTAAACGGATTAGCGGATGGATGCGAATCGATTTGACAATTTAAAATTTTATAAATTTTCAACATAATTCAACTTGTGCATTTACTTTTTTTTTTTTTAAAAAAAGTATTAGAGTCAATGACTTAAAAAAATATTACAATCACTACATGTCTCATCCAAAGAAAGAGAGTTTGAAATTTTAGAATATTACAATCACTGCATACCTCATCCACATCCACATATTATAATCACAGTATGCCTCATCCACACAAAGTATTACAATCTGTGGTTCTCAAAATATAAAAACAATTTAAACCACCAAAACCATAAACATAGCGGTAGTAGAGATTATGTGTCTCTATATTATTATATCTATATCTGTTTTTTAAAACAAAAACCAACTAACATATATCATTTTTTTTAATTATTATTTTTAAAGTTAGATAAATTACTAAGGGTACTCGCGGTTTGGCGGTTCGGTTGCGGCCAAAAGAACCTCAAATCCGCCATCCGTCCGCCAAATTGGCGGATTAGAAAAAATCAATCCGCAACCGTCCGCTCGTCATCATGCATCCGTCCAATATGCGGCGGATCGGTTCGGTTCGGTCGGTTTTGGCGGATCAATATATCCGCTGCCCACCCCTAATTTTAACCATAACAAACAAAACATCACATCCAACCCATAATCATTACATTCTTCTCTCACAAAAAAACTCAAAAAAGTCAAAAAGCCAAAAAGCCCTTCCCAAACCAAGCTTTTAAGGCCAGACTAAAATAGCCAAAAAAACCAAAAAGCCAAAAAGCCAACCCACTTCCCAAACGGAGGCTAAATATAGAATGAGCAGCTTAACAAAACAATTGTTCATCGAATTTCTACTTTCACAACCTCTGCAATCATCCATGGCGGAAGTCAAGACCCCCACAATCCTAACCCTATCTGAGGTACTATGAAATGTGTCTCTGTGTGCTGTAATGTTGCAATGCTTTTTGAACTTGGATTGTATTACCGATTTGATCTTTTTTTCTTTTTTTTTGATAATTCGAGTGGATTCGATGAAATTTACTTCAATTTTTTTTTTATCGACATTGGCTTTTTCTTCGATCGGCTTTTACTTGAATGAATCGGCTGTTGTTGATTCATAGATTGATGTGTACACAAATTCAGACACTTTGGATTTTTTGGAATTATGATTTGATGTCATCATATTTGTGCAGTGTTTTACGGGAATTCGTTCAATTATCGTTTTAGCAGTCATAATTGCATGATGATCTCTGTCAAGGGATATGGGTCTATGCATTGAGATTCTAATAGAGGTGAATAACATGAATTGTTTGGTAGGTTTATTCTAAAGATTCATGCTTTACAGCTGTTTGGATGAGGTGATTTGGGAAGAAAATAAAAGAAATGCTTTTTTGTTTTTTTTTGGTTGTTGTTGTTGTTCATATCACTTGTTTGGATAGAGTAGAGAAATGGAGTGAAATGGGAATAATTTGAGAGACTCATTTTTCTCATGACCCTTTTTTTTAATCTCTCCAAAAGTGGAGAGATTTGGAGAGAAAATAAACAGTCATTTTGGTATAATACCGAAACTACTTTTTTGGATATTGAAGAAATAAAAGACTAACACCTATAAAATGTTAATTTGGGAATATAACATGATATTATTTCTTTTCTTTTCTTTTCTTTTCTTTTATATAGTTTAACCAAACAATATAGGAGATAAATCATTATCCTTTCTCTTCTTTTCTCTCCTATTTATCCAAACAAAAGGGAGAGAAATCACAGTCTTTTTTTCTCTTTTCTTTTCTATCCTAACTTGCATAATTATTTCTTTTCTTTTCTCCCCTAAGTTCCCAAACAAAGTGTTAATGTTTGTAGAGGACAAGTGAGCGGTTTTAGTTTTTGAGGTCTGCTCTTTCTTATCTTATCTGTAGTATATGTCTAATAAAAGATCTATGTGGAAGCGTATATGGGGCAGCTCTACATATAGAGTTGTGGCATCAATTGATTACACTGGTTTTGAAGAAGAAGAAAAAAATTATTTTTATTTTTAAGGAAAATTGACCCCTTTAATTTAACCCACTGCAAAGAGTTGAAACCAAATTTTAGAAGCTTCAATTTACTTGCATCTGAAATCATTTTTTCTTTTTTCTAATATACAAATAGTCCCTATTCCAAATCTCCCTTGTGTCACTGTCTCAAAACTCTTTCCTACCCGCATGATCAGTGTTGGAGAGATTGATCATATGATAGATCAAGTGTTTAGAATAAGATGATAGGCTATGAAGCATGGGTACTCCGAAAATGTTGCCGTACTTGTACCGAGTATTGGTACTGATAGGGCTGCATGCGTACCGGATGTTCGAAATACGTACCGGGTACTTTTTATACATTCTTTGACAGTTGGGTACTCCATGAGTACTTCATGGGTACTCCATGAATACTTCATGAGTACACCAAGCTATGGGATATTGGTGGGGATATGTTTAATTTATTAAAGAATTCTTATTTACTTGAAATTGTAAATCCTTTACTTGATATGCCAGAGATGAAAAATGTATTATTCAATGATAAAGTTGATGAAAGCGAAAACTAAAACTTCAAGTTTTTAAATTTTGGTTAGCTTGCTTTTGGAATGAAACTTTGTTTTGTAATTTCTCCTATTTAATGTCATTAAAATAGCTTATATACTTTACTTTGGTTTTGGTATTATTGAACTATGATTTCTCTTTTGATTTTGTAATTTCTCCTTTTAGTTTTGGTATTGAATTTTGATTTGTAGATTGAATCTCAAACTATAAATTATAAAAAATAAAAAAATTATTGACGTACCCCAGCCGTACTTGTATTCTATTTTTTTTAGGTCTTTCCATATCGGCGTACCCGTATCATACTCGTACCAGTATCCACACCCGTACTCGTGCTTCATAGATGATAGGAGACATTTGGTATGGAGGATTTATCTCATCTCTTTTACCAATAAGGACTAAAATGGTGAAAATAACATTTTTAGCAATGAAATTCATAAAGAATTGATTGCACGATCAGATGGGGGGTTATTGGATGAATCATTGTTTAATCACATATATCGAAAATAAGATATTTGATAAACTGATAACGTAACAATTATGCAATGATTTCAAAATACAAAAACTCATCAATGGCAATATTAAAGTTTATATATTTGTGTATTTCTTTTTTGGGGAAAATGTCGGTACGAGGGTTTTAAACACTTTGTTTATTTATGATTTTAAGAAATATAAATTGTTTTTGTCAAATTATTAAAAATAGTAAAAAATTCTTCGTAGAATTTGTGAAAATTTATTGACTAGAGAGAACAAAAATCCTGGAGCCGCCACCGTATGGCATATGGATCTATGCCTGGAGATTCTACCTGAGGTGAATAACATGAATGCTTGGTAACTTAGATCTTGAGGTTTATGCTTTAATGTTTATAGAACACACACACAGGAGCAATTTTAGTTGGTCTGCTCACATATTTATAGGCATTGTTGTCAAATGACAAATTGAATCGCGAATTGTAATATTTATTTATCTAATATAAAATATATAATTTATATATGTATATATATATAAATGCACACATAGTGTTTAAGATGAAGTACATACCAATATAATTAAACTATATATATACTATATATTTATATACACGTAAATGTTATGGTATATATGATTAATACCAAACTCCAAGACCTAAGCAAACAGTCACACACACAACGAATCTAGAACGTAAAAGAACTAGAAAAAATAAATTCACAAACCAACACAAAAGATATACGTGGTTCACCCAAATCACGGGCTACATCCACAGAGTTGCTGTGGATTTTACCAAGGTCAATATTAAAGGAGTTACAAGAGGCTCTCACACTCAATGTCAGAAACTCTCTCTCTCTCTCTCTCTCTCTCTCTCTCTCTCTCTAGTCTGACCAGTTTTACCGCAGCCTCAACACTTGCCTGTAAAACTTTGGTCGAGATGGAGATCGACCTTTCCTCGATTTACTTTGCTTCTCTTCTTTTTGCTGCCCTTGTTAAGCTTCCTACCTCTGTCATCAATTGCCAACGCCGAACTAGTGCTTTCACCGTTTTCTTTTCTTTGGGTGTCTTCATTCATAACCAAACCCACTACATGATCCATGCTCAACTTTGCCAAACTGGTGGAATTGCTCACTGCAACAACAAACAAATTCCAACTTGCAAGAAGACTTGATAACTATGCTAAAACCTTGACTTCTTCGTTAAACGAGATACTAACTAATTTCAACTGACTGATCAATGAGTTGAAATCATTAATATGCTCAATCGCAACTCCTCCTTTGGACATCTTCAAGTTGAGCAACTTCTTGATCAGATGGATTTTATTCGTGGTTGAGGGCTTCTCATACATCCATGACAGAGCAGCCATCAAATTTTTAGTTGTCTTCTCGTTGCAAATATTAAACGCAACTGATGTAGCAAGGATAGCCTTACTGTACCCAAGGCTTTCTGGTAACTCCTACTCACTAGTCTTCATTGTTTCTAGCTTTTTGGCCACTCCTGCGAGAGGAAGATAAAGATCCTTCTAATAGAGATAATTCTCTATTTGCATCTTCCACAATCCGAAGATTGAACCGCTGAATTTTTCGATCTTCGCTTTGCATTCGTCTGCCGTAGTTCTTGCTTTAGGAACCAATGCTTTGATACCACTTGTTATGGTATATATGATTAATACCAAACTCCAAGACCTGAGCAAACAATCACGCACACAACGAATCTAAAAATCAAATTTACAAAGGAACACGAGATTTACGTAGTTCACCCAAATCACGGTTACATCTACGGAGTCACTGCGGATTTTACCAAGATCAATATAAAAGGAGTTGCAAGAGTCTCTCACACTCAATCTCACAAACTCTCTCTCTACAATAATCTATCTCTCTCTCTAAGATCACAAAACTAATGAATGAATTTAGAACATAGATATGGGTGTATTTATAGGGTTGGCCTTAAACCCAATCCTAAATTAATAAGGAAACCAAAACCAAAACCTAAATTAAGAAGGAAAAATCTCAACCAACAAGGAAATAGTTTAGAGTCCAAATCTAACCAAACACTAATTTTCTTGTTTCTTTTTCCTAATTTGATTAGGTGTAGTGTTTCAGGCTCCACCAACAATAGTATAATCACTTATATCAATAAAATTAATCTATTCTATATATTTTGATAGTTTGGCGAAAATGATGTAATTTCATGCTTTAGAAACAAAAATCGTAATGAATTGTTGTGAATCGCAAATTGAATTGCACAATTTACTCAATTTCCGATTCAATAGCATGATTCAAATTATGTTTATCGAAATGCGTATTGAATCATATGAATCGAATCACGAATCGCACAATTCTAACAACCATGTTTATAGGACATGTTTTTTACAATAGACTGATGTATAATCATTTTTCTGGTGTTTGCTTATCTTCTCTGTATCTCACCCTCTAATATTTTTATGCAAAGTGTTACTGCTGCACATATATTTCTAGGAAATATTTTTTTATATTAAACTATGATTAATATATTTATACAAAGTATTCCTATTGCCTTAGGCTTATATTGGAAGTCTTGCTGAACCTCTCTCCCAGTTTTCCATTGAGTTGCTGGACTCTTTCCTTGTATTGCAAATAGTGTTTATCCCTGAGTAGGCTAATTGCATTTTGTTGTGTACATTTCTGCTTAGTTCTTATAGACATTCTAACATAAAAATAAAAATAAAAATAACTGCACATTAATAAAAGGCTACTTGCACCTTCATTTTTATTTTTTAATTTTTATTTATTTATTTTTATTTTTGTTGTGATATATATATATATTCTGTATTGCTCGGCTAAATAATTTTTAATCAATCTTTTTAGGCTATAAGAACCAAGTATATGTAGTTTAAGATATTGTTGTTATTGGCTGGCAGTAGTGATTAGCTATATGTTTTGTCTACAAAGTGAGGTCTCTCAAACGTAGCCCAAGTATTGCTGATCCAAAAAAAAAAACTTGGCCCTAGTATATGTAATTTTTGGAATATACCATGTAGCCAATTACTCAGAAGATGAGAACATGAGAGGAACCTGTGTGGATGTTACATGTTCGCTCACATCTTCCGTGGGCTAATTTTTGCTTGCTCATGGTGAAACCTTCTTGTGTGATGCTTTGAATTGCAGCAATATTTATTGAAGGAGAAAGAAGGGAAGTTGGATATTGCTACAAAGCCTACCGAAGAACCGGAGGCAAAAAACCCTGCGAATTCCCCCTTCGAGGAAGTCATCACTCAAGAAGTTGAACAGACACCAGAAATTAAGGTAAGCCTGAAAGGACCATGATCTTTAGCTCTTGTTTTATTTCTTGCATCAGCAGTGTACTACTTTCCACACTTCCTTGTGTACTGTTGTTGGATACCAGATTGAGACAGCACCAGCAGATTTCCGTTTCCCAACCACAAATCAAACTAGGCATTGTTTTACCCGATACATTGAGTATCATCGGTGAGTCAATCTAGATACTTGAGTTACCTAATTATGTGTTTCTTAAACTATACACTTGCCACACCACTTGCCACACTTTTATCTTGTTTTTTTTTTTTTTTGGGTGTCTTTTTCAGGTGTGTAGCTGCAAGAGGGGATGGTGCTTCGGAGTGTAACAAGTTTGCAAAATACTATCGCTCTCTGTGCCCTGGTGAATGGGTATGTTTTGAATTTTGTGCTTTTGCTTGCTTTTGCGACCTAATTTTGTGTTGGAATTAGTTTCAACCATGTAGACATGTTGATATGACTATGATGAAATTTGCATATGCTCCGGTGATCTTGTCTAACTTGTAATAACTAATCAAATTGGAGCCTCATGAAACAATATGATTTTTTTTTTTTCTCTCTAATGTTTGCTGAAAGTGAAATTTGACTTTGTTGTATGGCTTACAAATGCAGGTAGAGAGATGGAACGAGCAAAGGGAGAATGGTATCTTTCCAGGTCCATTGTAAAACGGTACCTGCTGAAGGACTTAAATATATTTTGTTTCCTGCCATTGTATCCAAGTTGCTTGGGCTTTCTGGATGAATATCTTGAATAAGAACCGAGCAATATCAAGAGAAGTTGCTATTTAATGTGGTTAATAAATTTTTTTGTTTTCTTGTATGTAGTTTGAGTCCAAAAACATATTTGTTTCTGTTTCTTGTAACAAAGGAATTTACAGTCTTCACTTGCATGGAACTCATTTTCCTTCAATATTTATTTATTTATTTATTTATTTCTGGCTTTGGCTTTTTCGTGACAGAATCAGGTCACCAAAAAACATAAACATAAGCAGTGGCGTAAATTTTCTATATATATCAAATGATAAGAGATTATTGCTTGTGGGATTGTCAAACTCTTTCCTTATGAATGCCAATGTAGTGCATGAATATCTTTGGAGATGCCTGGAAAGTATCCTAGTTCCCGAGTTACATCGTGCAAAGTGATTGTCTGGATACTTCTGGGAGCTGTTATTAGTGTCAAATGGTATTGGGGTCTTTTTTCTAAAGTCCTGTGCTATTCTGGTCCGGACTCTAATAACTTTCTTCTAGCAGAATCAAGACAAAATTCCTATACATTGTTTGGATAAATGCTTGGTTAGTCTTTTTTCTTTTAGAGGAATGGCATTAGCATCCTGATGGCTGATGCTATGTAGCTATAGTTGGCAAGGACTTTTTTGATTATTTTAGTCATAAAAAAGCAAAATAAACTAAAAAATCAATAAGATAAAATGTCACATTTAAATTATAATTATTTTGGCCTTGTTTGGTTTGTGTTTCTCAAAAAATTTTAGAAAAAATTCTCTACAAAAAAAGTTTTCAAAAGTAATCAAACCAAATAAATTTTTCCAAAATTTTTTTTCAAAACTTGTTTGGTTTACAAGTTTTCTAAACAAATTTCTCTCATACACATCAAATCAATCACTTTTTTCAAAACTCTCTTAAAATAATTTTTCAAAACATCTTTTGAAAAAAAACTAAACCAAATAAATTTTCTTACTTCTTATCTCAAAACATGTTTCTCAAATACAAACCAAATAAGCCTTTTATTTTTTCTTTTATAAAAGTCAAAAAGATCATTCTAGAGAAATATTTTTAACTCTGAAATAGTTAAAAAATTAGAAAATTAAATAGTCAAAAAATTACTCCAACGAATGTCGTATATCTTCTTAGTATTTTCCCCTACCCAGGAAACGTATTTTCTTCTTCTGGGTACAGTGAATTGATGCGAGTTTTCTTTGTGGGACTGGCTTCGTTAATTTATTGGAGCAACCGATGGGACTTGTGTTCAAAATTGGAACTTCTAGACAATGCACTGTTTAAAGTAAATATATCATCATCAAGAAAAACTTACAAGGTGGTGAAGAATGGGTATAGGAAGGACGAGTCAAAGTGCAACAGCTGCTTATAAAGCAAAGCAAATCCTATTTTGGTCAATATTGATTACTTGATCCATTTTTACTTCACCGCCAACACACTTACTTCACCGCCAACATTCAGGGCATTCCGCTTGTATGGAGATTTAGGACATCGTGTGCATTGAATGGCTACCCACTTGATATTCAATAGTTTTGCAATGCATTGCATGCATAAAATAAAATTCATTTCTTAATGATGCAGAAACAATGGCAGACCTTCATGCATATTTTGCATACAATGAATTAGCTGGGCCAAAATATGCCCACCATTCAAGCTTTTTTCAGACTGAAAGTAAGCTGAACCATTACAGTAAGTTCGCAAATAATGATCCAGAGATCATCTCTTAATAGTCATATTTTTGTAAGTGTGTTGCTATGACATCTAAATGTAATGCTCAAGGCATGTATCTGTTGTAGATCATTATGTCCAAAACACTGAATCTTCTTCAACTTGAATTTGTGCTTGGAATTTGTGCACAAGCACACCGAATGCAACACAGCTGAACACATTTAAAAAGGAAGAACCACCAAACACAAGAACTATAAATTCGACAAAGACAATATCCTGTCAAACAAAACAGATCCAGAAAAACCAAAAGAATTCACTGAAGAATAGAGTCCTTAGTATATTAATCCAGTCATAATGTCACATTTTATAGTTTCTACCAAATTACCAATCATCCACTGGGAAGGAAAAGAAAAATCCATATCAAATAAGTCATACAACTAACCACAAAAAAAAAAAAAAAAAACAATTCAAAGGGTTCAAAACATCATTAAAGATAATTAGGTAACTTTGCCTCTAGTAGGCCCACCATTTACGAAGAAACTAAGCCCTCTCACCCCTAATTCTCCTTGCAAGCTGAATATCTTTAGGCATAATGGTCACCCGCTTGGCATGAATTGCACAAAGATTAGTATCTTCAAACAACCCAACAAGGTATGCCTCTGCTGCCTCCTGCAACGCCAAGACTGCATGGCTCTGGAACCTCAGGTCAGTCTGCATTCAAACAACATTCAAAGCCAGCCCAAAAAACTCAGTGATTCCAAAAAAATATTTTAAATAATAATTATAATATTTAAAAAGCAGTCATAAACCCATATCTACAACACCACAAATGTCCTGGGTTATTGACGAGTAAATTTGGCGAAAAATCAAACTCCATGATCTATAACTCCTAGCTTATGACCTAAGGGTTAAAACCAAAACTTGTGTTTGTAAGAAAAGAGGGGCATTATAATCCATGTCACATACCCCAATGTCAAATTAACATTATAAACACAAAAAGGTGTGCACACCATGTGCTAATAGACTAGAGAAGTTTCAAATTTTGAAATTGGCTAACAAAGACAGTTACAATAGGGCAATTTCAAAGAGATTGTAGTAGTGACAAAGTTTCAAAAGTATTCTAGGCTATGCAGTTTATAATAGCAAGTATAGAAGATAGTATAGATAATAATACCAAACACCACATACAACAGCAAGTAACCTAGGAAACCATAGCAACATTAAAGTAGATCAAATCACCTTAAAATCCTGAGCGATCTCACGAACAAGCCTCTGAAAGGGCAGTTTCCTGATCAAAAGTTCGGTACTCTTCTGGTACTTGCGAATTTCACTGCATCATATATATAAATCACATAAATCTAACGATCAAAAACACCGATAATTGAATCTAGGATTTCACAAAAACATAGTTTAAACCACGCACCGAAGAGCAACAGTTCCAGGTCTGTATCTGTGAGGCTTTTTCACTCCTCCAGTAGTTGGGGCAGACTTGCGAGCAGCCTGAGAAATCAAACACAAATTTTGAAAAAAACAAATTCACAAATTGACAAACATTACAATCCCCATATATATATATATATATATATATACCCAAAACAATGTTCATTAAATTGAATGATAATAAAGAACAAAGTAGAACCTTGGTCGCAAGCTGCTTCCTTGGCGCCTTGCCTCCGGTCGACTTGCGAGCAGTTTGCTTCGTACGAGCCATCTGAATTTTCAATACAAAATCAAATACCTCACATACAATTCAATAAAAATCAAAAGGAAAAACCCTCTTTTTTTCAACTCATTTTGATTTCATTGTTGTCAAAATGACCAGAATTAAAAACCCTAATTATTAAACGTTAGGGCTTCCAAAATTAAAGGATACCCCAAAAACAGAAAAGATTTTTCTTTCTTGTTCATGAGATTTTTCTCAGCAATCACACAGAGAACATCACATGTCAGGTATCAAACGAAAATTTCAAACTACATGATCTAAATCGCTACGTATAATACAGGAACCGATTTCAAAAAAAAAACCCTAAAGTTGAATTATATCAAACGTATGGCGAATTTCGGTCCCAGAATACAACCACTTCAAAGAATTGAAGATCAAAATCCATAGGTGTAGACGCATACCGGGGTGTGGTGTTAGATTGAACCCAAAGAAAGAAACGAATATCCTTTAGGAACGAGAAAATTACCTTCACTGGAAACAAACAGAAAAGTTTATCCAAAAGGGTGGAAGGCGAGGGTTGGGAACGTGACCTTTATTTATAGTGCGCGAGTTTCGAAGTTACCAGGCGGTTAGGCGGCCAAGATTGACTTTTCACCGTGTTTGTTTAGAATAGAATCGTACGGTGGAGAGGTGCTTCTGATGTGTTTTCTCTGTATCGAATTGACGACTGAGATGGGTTTTCTGAGGTACTTGCGGATCGTCACACTAAAATACTCGCTTCCTATTGGTTCATTTCATATTGGTTTCGTTTGGAAAAAAAAATCAGTATGCTTTTTTATTATTATTATTAATCTAACCTGAAATTTTTTTAAATTTTTTAAAAAATATTAAAAGTAAAATACTTTTTAAAAAATCAAAAGTCACTCTCTTATTTAAATCACATCATATTATTTAAGTTACATTACCTCTTTATCACGTCACTTCAAATTCAACTCATATACAATTCATATTTCATAAAAATTCAAAAAATACAGTTATTTAGGTCATTCAAAACCATTTCTTAACTTTCTTTTTCTTTTTCTTTTGTTTTATAATTCGAGCTAAAAGCTTGCCAAACGGCAGCATTATTTCTCTCTTTCGCTTCATTGTTTTGTTGTTCAACAAGTTTGAAAACGACGCCGTTTTGCTTGGTTCCATTTTTTTAAAAATAATTTTTAGAAAATTTTATTTTCTTATTTTTTGTATTTTTTTGTTTGTACTGAATTTTTTTAATATTTTAAGATTTTTTTTTACTTTTTAGACGTACCTAACATAATTATATCTAAAAAATAAAAAAAATTGTGAAAAAAATCTTTTAAAAATTTAATAAATACTAAAAATACAAAAAAAAATACAAAAATTATGTACATTTTTTGTATTGCTATGTATTTATTAATTTTTAAAAATATTTTTTCATAAATTTTTTATTTTTTAGATATATCTAAATAAAGTGAATCTAAAAAAGTAAAAAAAATATTTAAAATGTTAAAAATATTCACTAAAAATAAAAAAATACGAAAACTAAAAAACTTAATTTTTAAAAAACTTAATTCAAAAAACTATTATATGGTAAATCATATTTGGTTGAAAAAATAAAATAGACTACCCTCCTTTTAAATAGGATAATTTAGTGAGAAATGATGAAAAATAGAACTCTTTTCTCATAGTTTATGAATTAAGTGAGAAATGATAAGAAATAGTAAAAAATAAAACAATCTTGTTACGTCTATTTTATTTATCATTAAAAGTTGTGTGATTCGATGAGAAACAAACTAATTGGTTGTAAAATATTTATAATACTAAGATTGTCCTTAAAATACAAAGAAAAAAAATTATTATGCATATCTCTTTCTCATATGTTTTGCTTTTTTACTCATCCAAACATGGTTGTGAGAAAATACAATCATTTTTTCTTTTCTCATCGAGATAAAAGTTTAAAATTATTTCATTTATTTTCTCATCCTACGGGACTATCCTCTCATATAATTGAATTAGTATTCACATGGGAAGGGGTGAGATTGTGTGTTAGGTAGCCGACAGCCAACACATAAAAAAGCCGCTCGGATCCCTTATGAAAATGAATCCTACTTTGAATCGTTTAAATGCTAGGTCGTTCCCCTCAAGTGACGCGTTACGCCTGCCTCCGGGTGTTTCGAAAAATGAGCAAGGGGCGCCGCATCGACGCCTGGATGCGGTGAAAATGGGCAAAGGTTTCCGCGTTTTTCTGGACGAGCGCAGGTAAAGAAGCTAGGCTAAGACTATAGGTTTAGGATAGCCACTTGGAACATAGGAACCTTAACTGGTAGAACGATGGAATTGATAGATGTTATGATTAGGAGGAGAGTTAGTATAGCTTGCATACAAGAAACTAAGTGGACGGGAGAGAAAGCTAGGGAAATTGAGGATACTGGTTTTAAACTTTATTATAGTGGTAAAGATAGACGCAGGAATGGGGTAGAAATCATAATTGCCAAGGGTCTTGTGGAAAGTGTGGTGGCGGTCACTAGAAAAAGAGATAGGATTATGCTAGTTAAACTAGTTATTTGAGGGAATATAGTGAACATTATTAGCGCTTACGCCCCTCAAGTAGGGTTAGATGATCAGACTAATAGAGATTTTTGGGAGCAAATGGATAAGATCTTACAGGAGATACCCGTAGGAGAGAACCTGGTTATAGGTGGAGATTTTAATAGCCATGTGGGCATAGACAAAGTAGGTTATGAAAAAGTGCATGGTGGATACGGTTTTGGTGACAGAAATGAGGCTGGAAAGAGAATCTTAGATTTTGCGTTGGCTTCTGACCTGGTGGTGGCCACTACAATGTATAAGAAGAGGGAGGAGCATTTGATAACCTTTAAGAGTGGATTAGTTAAGAACCAAATAGATTACTTCTTAGTGAGAAAGGTGAACTGTCTAAAATGCAATGATTGTAAGGTGATTCCTGGAGAGAGTCTGGTCCCTCAACATAGGATTTTGATACTAGATTTATGTTTTAGAGGGCAATACCAAGCTAGGAAGGATGGTGGGCGTCGTAGGACGAGATAGTGGGACTTAAAAGGGGATAAACTAGAAATATTTAAGAATCGAATGGATAAGGAAGGTACTTGGGACTTAGAAGGTGATGCTAACACTATGTGGAATTCGATGGCCGAATTGTATGAGGAGATTCCAAGGAAGTGCTTGGAGAGTCGAAAAGGAACGGGACCCACTCTAGGGAAACTTGGTGGTGGAGGAAGAGTCCAACGTATGTTAAGCGCAAAAAAAAGAGATGCTTTAAAAAGTGGCAGAAGATAGAACTGAGGAAAATTTAAGAGATATAGATTGGCTAATAAGGAGGTCACAGAAGGTGAATAGACTAAGTTGAAAGTTTATATACCTATACACTAACTAGATAGAAGGAGGGAGAAGAAGGATACAAACTTGCTAAGATACGGAGAGAAAACAAGAGATTTTAATCAAGTAAAGTGCATCAAGAAGTGAGGTCTAAGGTATTGATGAAAGGATGATGAGATTTAAGGGAAAGATGGAAGAATATTTGAGAAACTGTTAAATTTGGACATGGAATACGACATAGGGGAAAAATAATCAGTAACGATAAACCCAAGACTATAGTCTTATCGCAAATAAGATTAGCAATTTTGAAGTTGGAGATTGCACTTTAGGAAGATGAAAATCAATAAGGCTTAGAACCTGGTGATTATTCCTATTGAAGCGTGAAGTGTGTTGGGTAAAAAGGGAGAGTTGCTTGGTTGACTAGGTTGTTTTAGCCAAAATTTGTTGAACTAGGAAAACATGCCAGCATGGTGGAGGAATAGTATCTTAGTGCCAATTCTAATAAGAATAAAGGCGATTTCCAGGAAACTTTTTTTAAAATTATAGAGGAATAACTACATGTTCATATAATGAAAGTGTGGGAGAGGTGATAGAAACGCCATGCGAGACATAACATGGTTTTGTCAGAGATATCAATTTGGCTATTATGCCTGGATCAAGCCGTCACGCAACCAATGGAACAGCAGTCTATCTTATTATGAGAGCCGATATTATAGAAAATGTAGTAAAGAAAAGAAAAAAAAAGAGACATTCAAGTGTTGTTTATTCACACTTTGAGAAAGCATATATAGAGTTGCCCCTGAGATATAATATGGTGGCGTAGAGAAAAAAGGTCGACGTGGTGTACAAATGCTACATGACGCTGCATTAGGACATGTATAAGAATGGTGACCACATTTAATCGCTTAGCTAGAGAAACAAATGAATTTCCTATCATTGTTAGGTTACACCAAGATTCTACCTTAAGTCCTTTATCTTTTGACTAGTTTTGGATGAGTTGACGATAAATATTTCAGGATGAGTGCCATGTGTATGCTTTTTGCCAAGACATATGTGTTAGTAATGAGACTAGGAGGAGTTCTAACACAAAGTTGAGATTTGAGGAAAAACTCTTGAATCTAAAGGATTTTCGGATAAGCAAAACTAAGACAGAGTACATGGAGTGTGAAATTTTTTTAGTTAAACAAGTAACAATGAAAGCATAGAGAAATAAAGATTGAACCAAAACTGCCTAAAGTTGAACATTTCTTACTTTAGGGTCGATTATCACAACAGCGGGAGAGATTGATGCAGATGTGCTCAATAGGGATTAAGGCGGGATGGTGTAATCTGGAGAAGTGCGTCTGGTATTGTGCGATAAACGAATATCCACTAGACTAAAAGGGTAAGTTTTACTAGATCGTTATCATAGAACCAGCTATTTTTATGGGACGGACAAGTGTTGACAACCCAAGCACAAGGAAAGATGAGTGTGGCTGAGATGAGGATGCTTTAAGGTGGAGGTGTAAGACTAGACAGGACAATATTGGAATGAGTGTATTTGAACTGGGTAGGATCAGCACCTATAAAGATAAGTGAGATAGAATCATTGAGGAGTTGGTCAAATTCAAACGGAAGACCAATAAGGCAGTAGTGAAGAGATCGATGCTTTGCTAACGGTAGATGAAGCTGTTACAGGAGTAAGGCCTAGATAACGTGACTACTTATAAATAGAAATGAATCTACTGTAATTAACTAATAGTGGCCTTGATAGGCCGCGTGGATAAGATGATTCATGAGCCACCCCATTTGATGGACTTAAGCTGGTTTGATTAGGTGTAAAAATACTATTTGCTTTCCATTGATAAAAATAATAATGTCACATTTATTACATACGTCAACTTTTACGTAATTTCATAATTATTAATCCCAACAATTATACCCACCACATAATTACTCAAACAAACCTATTTAATATTTCTAATCTAATATCAATACACTAATAATTTATTACTGAATCTCCAATACTCATGATCACAGGAAAATTATGGATTCTCGAAGTATCACGTTCCAGTAGCCTTCACTAATCACATTCATCATGCTCCTTTGTGTTCATCAATCCGGCGCAACACCAAATCTAAGTCTTATATTCTTTACCAATATAATATATGGGAGCATCACATAAGTTGTACTCCGGGGTGTGTTTGGTTTGAAGATTAGGGGATGAATTGACTACCATGTTTGTTTCAAT